AAGAAGGGCACACACATATACGCTCATATAAAAACAGTCAAGACTGATAAGCGAATAAATAAGAAGGTTAAAGTATGGCTCAAGTAGAATGAATAAAATGGGATATCCGAAAGCTAGAATAAGGTATATGGGCTTAGCATAATAACTGACACTACAAGTTAGTTTATCGTTGAGCTGTTTAATAGCTTCGAAGGCGTCAGAAGACAGCTTGAATTCTTTTGGTTTTCCTTTGAGTGAATCTGTCAAAGTGTGGTGTTTGAATGGACTAATGATACCTTTGTACTTGTTGAATGTTTGATTTTGAATTCCAAATACAGTACATGCGTTTGTGTTTGTGTCTTACCTCTTAATTCAATTGCATTATTTCTGGGACTCTTAGTTCATAATACAATTCAAATAATTCAAAACATTATATTGGCGTTGCGATGGAGCCTGTAATGGAAAAGTTAGATATTCATTCAACTTCGGAAGCTTTTGAAGATTACTTTGAAAGGTTCGAAATCTGGGCTATGACCAAGGAAGATGATGAGGATGTTAATATTGTGGCACACTTTCTCACATTCATTGGAAAAGAAGCATACAGCTTATTAAGAACTCTGACTATGCCGGAAAATCCCATTTCGCTTCCTTATACAGCTCTCAAGGAACTGCTGCTAGACTATGTTCAGTATACAAATTTCGAATGCAGCAAAGGAGGAAGATCTCATAAAATGACTCATGAGGATATAAAAAATTCTACTACATTACTACGTCATCCTGACCCAGTGCATACTCAAGGTTATGCAGATAATTCATTGAGGAGTTGCGATGCAGTTCACGAGGTTGGGCACAAGTTTGGTCAATGTTTGTTCTGTGGCAAGTTCCACTCTTTTAATTCATGTAAATTTCGTAATTCTAAATGCTTTAAATGTGGTGATATTGGACATATTCAGTCAGTCTGTAATACTACTGTTCATCTTACTGCAACTAATATTAAGTCTTATAATTCTGATTCTACTGAGTCGAGTATTCATGATGATCATTTATCTTTATCAACGATTTCAAAAGACAGTGTAGAGTCATATGGCAGTTCATAGTTAAATGAAATCCAGAATTCTTGTGAGACAACAGTTCCTAATCAACCGATTTATCAGAATTCTCATGCTATTGTACCAGGTATGACTTTTCCTAATAATTCACATATTTCTAATGAAATTACTTGCAATTCTGAGGAAAATATGTTAAATGAACCTAATCATGATCGAAAACCTGATGTGGTTTGGATAGATGCTGATTTTTTTAATGATCCTTTAATCTGCAATGACATTCTTAATGAATTCGAGGAAACTATTCCATTAGAGTCAAGTCTTGATGTCATAGCAAATATTATTTGTCCCCATAATTCATTCGTTTCTTGTGGGAATCTTGTTCAATGCGAAGCTCCATTCTGATTACAATTCGGATTATTTCACATCAGTTGCTGTTAATCCTTATCACAAATTCACTTCCAATGTATACTCCAACCAATGTGAGAAATATGTTTTAAACGAAGCCACATTACTCATAACTTGGGGATATAAAGATCCAACATTATTTCGTGGGGGAAGATAGTTTTCGAATTCTAGATATTAATGATTTCAGTAAAAAACCGACATGGTGATTGTATACAATTCCAGGTGAGTCTGTTCCGATTTCGTTTGTTAATTCCAACACTAATGAGCACATTCTAGATAATACAAAGTTTCTATCCAACACAATGTCGGACAGACTCAGGATGAACTTAAGAAGACGTTAAACCGATTACAAACACTTATACTTCTATTTAAGCTGTGGCGGATGTGGTATTTGAATGGACTAATGATACCTTTGTACTTGTTGAATGTTTGATTTCGAATTCCAAATACAGTACATGCGTTTGTGTTTGTGTCTTACCTCTTAATTCAATTGCATTATTTCTGTGACTCTCAGTTCGTACTATAATTCAAAACATTATACAAAGGTTGCATTAATTGTGCACAACCTGGTATAAATCTGCGATAAAAGGTAATTAGACCTAGAAAACTTCTCAGTTGTGTTAGAGAACTAGGTATGGGGTATTGTTTGATGGTGTCTGCTCCTTTTTTGGTCGGTTTAATCCCTTCTGGGCTTATTGTGTGACCGAGAAATTCTAAAGTTTGAACCCCAAAAACACACTTACTTTGATGTATGTTTATTCCATGTTCATCCAGTCTTTTCAACACTGCTCATACATGCTGTTGGTGTGATTGTAAATCGGGACTGGCAATTAACGTATCGTCTATATACCCCTGCGCAAATTGCATATCTCGAAGTAGGTTATCTATGAATCTTTGAAATGTCTGTGCCGCATTTCTCAGGCCGAATGGCATGCGTACAAACTCGAATAAGCCAAAGGGTGTTGTAATAGGTGTCTTGGGGATATCTTCATCAGCCCCCGGGATTTTGCGGTATGCCCTGACTAAATCAATTTTAGTGAATATGTTCATATCTTGTAGACCGTTTGTAAAATCTTGGATATGCGGTCTTGGGTACCTATCTGATACAGTTTGACGGCAGTAACCCCCGCACGGTTGCCAGTCGCCTTCACTTTTCTTTGGGACCATATGCAAAGGGGATGCCCATTGACTATCAGAGGGACGGATAATACCCAGCTGTAGCATATAATCAAACTCGGCCCTAGCGATTTTGAGCTTATCTGGTGCTAGTCTCCTGGGTTTTGTAAACACCGGTGCACCTTCGGTTTTGATAGTGTGACTTACTTTTAGTTTGTCTTTGGAAGGCTGTGAGTTTCGTTTAGTTAATTTTGGAAATTCCGCGAGTATATCTTGGAATTTCACTGTTGTTACTAGAGGAGTTTGAATCAAGTTAAGAGAGCTGATGTGACTTTCTTCGCCTTTTGCATAATACAAAGTTTCTTTTAGTGTTAATCGCCGTTTCTTGGTGTCAACTAGAAATTCGTATCTCTCTAGAAAGTCCATCCCCAGTATTGCCAGATCTAAGTCGGCTACCGTGAAAACCCAAGGGAATTGCCTTCAGAACCCCAAATCTAGGGTTAAAGTTTTCTGCCCAAATGTCGCGATTTCAGTTTTATTTGCAGCTTGAAGTGTAATTGATGATGTTTCTCGACTAATCTCAGTTTTATTTTGAGGGATGGTGCTAAGAGCAGCGCCAGTATCCACCAAGAAATTCAAGCCAGAGTTTCTGTCTCTAACATGAAACAAGCGACTATTTAGGCGCCCCTTCTCAGTCGTCGCGACCTAGGGAGGGGTTACTCGTTTTCCGCTGTCTTAGAATTATGCTTAGGCCAGGCGCGTGGTTGCATGCACTTGGTTGAGTTGACACCAAACTTCCAGTGGTACCAACAAAACTGCCCAGATTGTCTGGACATTTGTGACCTGTTTTGTGACTTGGATCGTGGTCGTTGTGGTGACCTGCTCCTGTTTCTATGACCCATTTGCATTCTGGTGACAGCCTCAGTGAGACTCTTAACACTCGCAATGGGTCATTCTATGACGGGGCCTTTTGCTGATTCTACTTTTTGTGTGTGATTTATTGTGCCTGATCCAGTTGGAGGACCTCTTTCCGTTATTCTATCGGCTATACGCACTAAATGAGATAATGAGGTTTCAGGATCTTGTGCATCCAAACAGTGTTGGACGTAGCATGTGAGAGCTTGTATCCATCCTTGTTTTAGGACTGCTTCACCCACTGTGTTATCACCCACTAAGACTTGGAGGTGGCGTAAAAACTGTGACGGCGACCGATCACCTAGTGTTTCACCTTGGAAAAGTCTTTGGATTCTTTGACTGTCTGATAATGATAAACGGTTCATTTATCTCTCGTCTTAAGATGGTGTATGGTTGTGGTGATAGTGGACTTAAAATCAAGTCACGGACTTCTTTGGCGACTGAAGGAGGAAGGATAGAACACAAGTCTCTATAGCGAATCCCTTCAGATTTGATATTGTGTCTCGTGAAATAATGCTCTAGTTGAGCGAACCACAACTCAGGATCACTACGATCAAATTCTGGAAGTCGGGATTTCGTAGTCATAACAGTGTCTATCTCCACATGTGACAAATCCTCCATGTTATGGGTTTCTATTGAGTCTGACATGAGGTGTGTGACAAATATAGCAATAAAGTTAGCACGAAAAGTGGTTACTATAACACGAATAACTTAAGAACTATGTATATGCCGAACTTAGTTTACGGATAATCAGAAGGTCTACTTTTGCGAATAAGTCAAAAAATAATATTAATAACAAAAATGAGGTTAAATTTGTGTTCAATAGGGCTCACCAGAACAGGAGGCAATGTGATAACGGTACACAGAATGTTGAGTACACCAAGCCACATAAACACAAACACATTACCGGAACATCATATCAACGTTCCTCAAGGAAAATCTTGATAGATCATACATAAGCGAGCGAATATCCAGGAATGCTTTTGGTGGCCCATTGATTTGACTCCGACTCGGATGAACGTATGAATACTCCTTGAAAAAATCTTCGACTGAACTCAATAATATTGTACTTAAGAATAATCGAATTTGTCTGTCCGGAAGCTAGAACAACCCATCTGAGGTTGGCATAGTACTGAATGCTACAGGCTCTCACTTTTCACCATAAAGTTGTCTCGATTTAGAATACCCCGCTAGTCGGGGTGACCACAGCAGTGAATAAGTTTAGGGAGAGATTTAACAGCCGCGTATTCCCCAATGGACTTTCACCTCCATTTTGGACCACCTGTGTCTAACAAAGATCTCATATTACTACAGTTATCATTACCATATATTACTAGCTACTTCCTACACCTCTTAATTCAATCTCCATTTCCCTACCTATTCTCTCCTATACAACAACAATCGTTTATTTGTTCTCGAGACAAAATCAGTGACGTGAATAATCTCTCCAAACAAAAAACGATGACGCAAAATAAGGCAGTGGACTAATATCAGCTCACCAGAAGACGCTGGATATACCTTATTGATACTCCGTGAGTTGTTTTAGTGTGCCACCATTCAAGGTTCCTTAGCGGTGATTGAAGTTCGCTCAGTTGATTTTGGAAAGTTTTGACTGTGACTGCCGTTTCTGGCTGCTGTTCCCGATATGACATCATCGGATAATCTTCCTCTTAATGAACTTGAAAAGGAATTGCTAGATCCGAATTCGGAATGTTATTTGGAAAACTTGTTGGACGTGGTTTCAGCATTGGTTAGTGATTGTGACTTTCCTTCCGCTAAAAATTCAAAAAGCGTGCAGTCTTTCCTTAAAAAGTATGTAAATTGTTTTCATTGTACCCATTTTGAGTGCTTCAAATGTTATAGTCTGACATCGCTTGCACTGGTTCATTTTTGAGCATGTAGGCTGAGTAGACGATATACATTTGGATATATTCAAATGTAATGTAGTTCTAAAGAAGTCTTCACCAATACACCTTCCTTACCATGCTTCGCTCCCAACCGTGCGGAGGATCTATATCAAAGCGTTACGTGTATTGGTCACCCTGTTCATCTAGTTCGCACAAATCCTGTTCTCGTTCCCTTCAGGAAGACCTCTCAATCGTTTGGAATCGAAAAAGATCCCGGTTTCAATTCACAACACTAAATGACTTGGTCATAACTAGCTTTTACCATTCTATCATCTTGAGCTAAGGTATACTTTTCGTGGCTCGCGTCAATTTTTTAATCTGAAGAAATAAAGGATCCACAGTTTCATTTATTCTTTCACTGCAAGCAACCATATTGTGTAATAGACTATTAAATAGTTACCATAATAAAAAGCATCACCTTCTTTATGTAAATAATTGCGACTTAGTGTTCTGTTTATCAGCTTACTGAGAAATTGTTTACTTCTGGAGATCTAAAAATCTTTCAGTATCATCGTTATGTTGAAATTGTGTACGACTGTAGACTTTATAGACACCAGTTGGACTGTCTTTAAAGTGTTCCATCCATCATTCTAGTAACCTATAGGAACAGTACATCGTGGTGTCTTTTTCGGGTATGGTTCACCTTGATGAATCTGAATAGCCGTTTGGTGTTTGATATAATTGCATAAATTTGGAGTTAGATAGCTTCCACAGCAGGGGAGATTGAATAGTCTATAGTTCCACACCCATCCATTATTTATTTGTTACATGACTTATGTCTATTCTTGTGTCCAATATTCCATACGTATTGTTTTGTTCAGCGGTCTCGTCTTTGATCTAAAATCATTTGAGCTCTTTCGTCATCACTTAGCCTCACTATATCGTTGTATATCTTTTCTTGATCGGGATTCTATTCATCCATCTTAATAATTACAACCCTCATTCACTCAATAAATCCTATTTCGCAACAGTGTTACGCAACGTTGTTACATTTTTACGGAAATTGTGTCCTGTTGTCAGTAAAATACTAACCCGCGCTGCCCTTTCCATGACATGTACTGAACGTAATACTGGTTGTTCTGAATTTAATCCAATTGAGGATCTGGCTTGAGTGTTGGAGGCCGGCCGAAAGATAATATAGGGATATTTCAGAGCCATCCAACGGCAAGTATATAGTAGGAAAAGAGAGATCCTTGAAAGATTACTCAGTATCTGGGAAAAGTTATATAAACAAGACTACTCACAATAAATTTTCGTGATCTTGTAATAAAGATCAAATATATTGTGTTTAGTGGGAACAGAAAAAGAGTACAATGAGGTTTATAATTTTCTGTTTTGGTTTTAAAGCAAACAGTCAGATGCCTACACCTTCGGATAAGTCCCACACTGACCTTATTCTCAGCCGTAAATTATTTATTGCCATTGTATTTCTGCACACCTGGATCTTTTTACATGATTTAAAATAACCCCCAAATGCCTTGGTACGGCCGAGAGTGGGGAGAGTCAGCTCTCCCTCTAGAAATGTTCTCACATGGTCAAGTGATAAAATCACTGCCTCCTCGCGGCGCGGGTGTTGTTGAATTGAAAGGACGAAAAGAGAATGTTCGGCGCTTCAACCGGGTTGGTGGACACCTGGGAGGTTAGAAAACCCTGATTCCAAACCAATCGTGCACATAGGCTTCGGGATCCTGAAGGAACAAGTAGCGTATGAACCAATCATTAGTGACTGGCTACCGTGAAACTGCATCTCCTCACGTTTTTCCATTGCCTTGTGGATCAGACCTTTAGGTAAAAGGCTCTGGGTGTGGCCTCCTAAGAAACCACCCGCTTCGATTTAGGCACGTGGACAACGTCCCAACCCTCACGAAAATCGAATGATATATGTGACACCCATCTATTGGGTGCCTCCTTGTACCGATGCTTATGTGTTTATGTAAATAAATAATTTTTTGAGAACAATGTATAAAGCTGACGACACTGGTATATTCGACAGACTCATGGTTCCATGCTTCGGAAGCCTGCTCTGAGAGTCGATCCCTCATAGGTTTCGGACAACCCGTGAAGTGTGACGGAGTTCAGTAGTTTGGACGCGATCGAAAATAAACTGATTTTCCGATCAAGTGGATTTAAACTTCACCCCATTGCAAGCAAGTAGCTATCAGGACTCAGTAGCTATGTGGATAACGCGATGGCATTTGAAGCGAACGGTACTGATTTCGAGCTTCAAAACGAACATCAACTCTGAGGTGCAGGTAAATCTAGCTGACGAGTACCGAATAGGACGAAACGCGCTTTGTCCTGAATGCCACTGCTAGCCACTATCCATCTTTGCATATAATGCTTGTGAATTAAGGCTATATCGAGGCAATACCCACAGTATGCACATATGCCAATAAGACTGATCAATTACAGTCCTAAACATCAATGGAAAGATTCAAACACACAATACCGAGTGGATTTATTTTCCGATAGCTTTGAATTGATGACGTAGGTCCTTTTTAAAAGTGGAAACGACGATTACGTCTTTCCACGATATTGGAACACTACTTTCCAAAGTTGGGGATCGGCCAAGGATCACCAGACTAAAGCTTGCCATTAAGCATTAGTGTCATTGTTTATTTTTATCTGCCAAACTACTAGTTACCCATTATTTAATCATATTCCCCCTCAAACTTATCTTATTACTTTTCATAGCTATATCACTTATTTTTAGCTTAACATCAGTGTTACCATCTTCACCCCTTGTTCAAAGTTGCTTGTGGCTTCGCGAGACGTCCCGCTTATAAGCACTGGGTTCCTACAGGCTCCTTTCAACTCATCAAAGCACGTTCGTTTACTTCGTGTGATTGCGAGTTTGACCATAAACGAAGGTTGTTACGTATTGAAACTGTGCAAAGCTTGCTTAAGGACTGAAAAGCCTGGTGGTCGGGGCGTGCTGACGAGTTGCAAACAGCAGTTGCATCTGCAAACTACCAAAAGCTCTTTCAACTCGTCTGAGTCATTGGCAGTAAGAAGTCTGGTGTGAATGAAACAATCTATGAAGCTGATGGAATGTCAATCAACTACATGGTGGTCTTTCTTAACTTAAAAGAAGCATTTGACTCCGTAGACCGCGAGATTCTGTGGCATTGTCTGTCATTTAAAGGCGTACATCAGAAGTACATAAACCTTGTGAAGGCTCTTTACTCGAACACCACTAGTCGAGTCAGCTTTTGGCGAACTGTCATCTGCTTTTGCAACCTCAAGTGGTGTCCGACAAGGCTGTCCACTTTCTCCATTTTTGTTTAACTTCATTATGGACCTACCGATGGAAATAACTTCCTCGTCGACTGAATTCTCGGGTATTGATCTCCTTCCAGGAGGTCCACTTATCGACTTAGAATACGCAGATGACATAGTTCTGTTTGGTGAAGACGCTGGTAGAATGCAGAGTCTTCTGGTAGCACTAAGCAACAATTTCAGAATGTTTGGAATGCGCTTCTCTCCCTCTAAATGCAAGTTGTTGCTTCAGGACTGGTCTGCGTCAACACCTGAACTAAGGATAGGGAGTGAAGTAGTCGAACGCGTTGACAACTTCACTTATCTTGGAAGTGTGATCAGCCCTAATGGGTTGCTGTCTGACGAAATCTCAGCACGGATTCGAAAACCTCGCTTGGCTTTTGTCAACTTACGTGACCTATGGCGAAGGCGAGATATCCGTCTATCAATAAAAGGACGAGTATACTGCGCGTCAGTTCGTTCTGTTTTACTTTATGGCAGCGAAACATGGCCATTAAGAGTAGAGGATACTCGTAAGCTACTAGTATTTGACCACAGATGCCTTAGAAATATTTCTGGCATCTGCTGGGATCACCGGGTAAGTAATAGTGATGTTAGACGCAGGGTATTAGGGAATGATGGTAAATCAGTTGATCATTTTGTAAATCTTCATCTACTGAGATGGTTAGACCACGTGTTACGTATGCCTGAACACCGATTACCATGACGCGCAATGCTGACTAGTGTTGGAGATAGTTAGAAATAATTTATGGGAGGCCAAACCAAAACGTGGCATCAGTGCTTGAAGACACTAACTTCTAGTCTGAGCCATGTTGGTAGATGCAAACTACTTGGTTGGGATCGGTGTGACTATCGTAACGAATGGTTGTAGACTGTGTGTGACATGGTTGAGAATCGATCACAATGACGTAGCTGTATACACTCTTTGTTTTTCCTTAAACTATGAGATTAAAGTCACTTGATATCTTTATTTCTATGAACTATTTCTTTCTTTCTGTACTATGCAATCTTTACTTTATATGTTACTATCATTGAAGTGACTACTTGTATGAATCCGGTGTTCATGTTGTTGTGCCATTGATTGAAGTATGGCAACTTAGACCGATTCATATTTATGCGTGGTCCAATGTTGTAGCTGTCTGACTGACAATCAACTACATCTACCAACGTCTTGGGCGGTGGACAAAGTTTCTCGAGGAATAGTCCAACTGCTCTCTTGTCCTGGCAGCATTAATCAGACTGTCGTTTCCTTCATGGATGGTAATCCATCTAATGAGGCAGAAGTCCTCAAGTTGAAGCATCACAAATCACCAGGCGCAGATGACTTACTTTCGGCCCTTTTTAAAGATGCTGGCGAACCTTTGGTCAAGGAACTGACTGAGTTGCTTGCAAATGTCTGGCATTTAGTGAGTGTTCCAACATAGCGGAATGAGTCGATAGTTGTTCCTAACCTTAAGAAGGGTTCACGCCGTTTCTGTAACAACTATCGAGGGATAAGTCTACTCCTAATTACATCCAAACTTTTGTCTTCCTTCATACTTCGTAGATTGTTCAAATCCGAGAAAGATTGATTCACGAGGAGCGGGCTGCTTTTCGTTCTGATCGAGTGTTAGAACACTTTCATACTTATCACAGGCCCACAAACTTAGTGTTTCTTGACTTTAGGGCCTCCTTTAGTGGACAGGACTGTTCTCTGGGAGTCTTTTGAAGAACGGTGTGCCTGAGAAGTTTATTAATATCTTAAAAGCCCTATATACAAACATCTCAGGCAGAGTGAGGGGATACAACCACCTCTCTCCATTGTTCCATTCAAGCAGTGAGTTTAGGCAGGGTTGCCCAATCTCACCATTCCTCTTCAACTTTGCCATCGATGACATTCTGGAAACAGCTCTGGTGAATGTAAGTAATGGCGATGTGGATCTGTTGCCTGGAGAAAGACTTCTCGACCTTGAGTATGCTGATGATGTTGTCTTGCTGTGCGATGATACCCAAGCCATACAATTCGCACTTAATCAGTTGGCAATCAGTTTCCCTAGGTATTGCATGTGCTTTGCACCTTCTAAGTGCATAGCACTTTTATAAGACTGGCAGGACCGTGAATCTGAACTCACTCTGAGCGGTGAGCAGGTAGAAGTAGTAGAAAAAATCATGTATCTGGATAGCTGTGTAAATGCTAGTGATAGCGTGAGTGATGAGATCGATTCACGTTAAATGAAAGCCAGAGCGGATTATGTCAATCTGAGTCATCATTGACGTCTTCATGATGTTAGTCTGAGTGTGGAAGGTTGGATCTACAATGCGTCGGTGAAAGCAGTTCTGCTCTATGCTTGTGAAACCTGGCCTTTCCGAGTTGAGGTTGTTAGGCGACTCTTTGTGTTTGATCATCGTTGTCTCCGAAGGATTACTGACATCCAGTGGCAACACCATGTTAGTAATGCTAATGTTCTGCATCGTGTGTCCGGACACAGCGACGATAACCCAATTGATATCACTATATTGAAACACCGACTTCGGTGGCTTGGACATGTCTTACGAATGTTGTCCTAGTGAATTCCACATCGTGCATTCTTTGCCAACTCTGGGACTGGTTGAAAAAAGCGGAGGTGGTCAGTGTATCAAATGGTGTCGTGGTATGAAAAAAAAAGTTGTACAGGACTGGCTTTTGTTAATCCTTCACAACTCCCTGGTTAGGGTCCTAGAAATGGTGCAACACAGTGGCTTGAGACGTTATCAGACACGGCCCAGAATAGAAGCTAGTGGCAATCCTGCTGTAACTTTCTTTTACTTCATAAAAAGTGAACGTCAATTTTTTGACTGAAAGGATTCTTTCTGGTTGTATTTTTGTTAACTGTTTCTCCCATTATTATTATTATTATTATTATTATTATTATTATTTCACTCTCGTACACTAATTTATGTTCATTGTTGCTCTTCGTTTATTATACCCTCCATTCTGTATAGCTTCACAATCTTATCGTTATTATGTGGAGCATATATACTTATTACCCCACTTGTACCAATGTTTAGGTGTCCAAATAAATAAAATTATGGTACACTAATCCCTGTAGACATTATCCTTTATTTTGTAGATTCACTCTGCAAACCGATCGTCTGGTCCATTGTGAGTATATAACATTTTCTATGTAACTATCTGAGATGACACAGAAAATGTTATCATGAATGTTAAGACCATCAAACAATAAGTATAGCTCGCTTCCAAGAACAATAATATTTAAAATATTACTTTACCAAATCACAGACTCTAAAAAAACTAAGCCTCTGTTTTAATCAAAAGCTAACTCCACCAATATTTTGTCGTTTTATTTATTTATAGCTCCAGGAAATGCGTCACATAATGGTTACAAAACACTTCATATAAAATAATGGTACCACTTTGCTGCTCAAACGTAGGCAGCCCCGGAGAACTCAGACTTGAGACCAAATGATTAGACGCTAGACCATGTAATCTCTGAGATCATCGGTTCATTTAGTTATACATTAAATACCTCATGTATGTGTCAAGTCATTCATCACAGAGTCATATTATGGAGTTATTCTCAAACTAGCAGTATTTTTCACTACACCCTATTTTATCAAATAACATTTTCTTTCATTTATCATTTCTTATAGATATAGTCAAGCTGCCAAAATTATTGAATCACGTCGCACAAAATATAATGATTTTGAATTAATTAAAGTGATCGGGCAAGGAGGATTTGGCCGAGTTGAATTAGCCAGACATAAGCGTACACGACGTGTTTATGCCATAAAATTAATGAGTAAACAACACTTATTAGACCATAGTCAGTCTGGTTATTGGGAAGAACGTGATGTTATGGTGAAAGCATCAAGCGAATGGTTGGTTGCTTGTCATTATGCGTTTTTAGTAAGTTCAAATTATATGCTATAATGTTTTCATGTTTTCAAAACTAATGTTGTTAATGGATACCCTTTAGCGATAACTTTTATGACTAAGGTTTTTGTTCATCATCCAAACCCGAAAATTACGTATATATCTTGCTAATGAATGACAGTAAATATAAAGCATAGACTATTCAAGACTTTGTGTTTCTCTTTTCTAGCCATTCAGTTGTTAATACACTACAGCATTCTGTTAATTATTCAGCTAACTAAAATGATCACATTACAAAATTTCGTCAACTGAGTTGTGTTAATTCTAAAGATTAACCAGGAAAATATTAATTACTATTCTGTGACTCAATTAGTCTAAAAGTTCGTTTATTTTCACTTAAACAAAAGATAGACAATTCAAGTTAATACTAATCTTTAGTCCTCAAATGCCCTGGTACGGTCGAGGATGGGGAGAGTCAGCCCTCCCTCTCCAAATGCTCTCACATGGTCACGCGTATACAGCCACTGCCAGGGAAGCCCTACTCTCTGCTTTCTTGTGGCGGGGGTGTTGGTTATGAAATTGAAATGACGAAAAGCTAATGTCCGGCGCTTTAACCGGGTTAGTAGATATGTAGTGTTTATTTGTGAATCCACGATTATCTTAATTATACAAGATTATTTACTTACACGGTACAGATTTCTTATATCGACTAAATCCACCAAACAATCTTTATTTCATGTTAGCCCATTCAATGATTCAAGCATATGTAGAACGTACCAAACAGGTTGGTATTAAGCGAATACCCAAAGTCATATTTTTTCAGTGACCGTTTTTTTTCACAACCGTACATTGCAACGGAGTTCAGTGTTTGCAATGTACTATCATTGCCTTATGGTCTAATGTCTTAAGTGCAATAAACTTTTGGAAACAGCCTAACACAGTTACCAAGACCAGGGATATGTATTTAGCTTTGAGTTACATTGGTTGTGTGTTTGGGGCATTAATATTGTTTATCTACCAAAACTAAGGCAGGTAGGACAAAGTTCAAACTAGTAATCTACTTATTGGAAGCCAATTATTCTAATCACTAAGCTATCCACTTGATATAAATTTCAAAACTGAAATTTCCTCTAAACTTCAAGTCTATCTGCTAATTCATTTGAATAGATGTATTCATTCGATACAATAATAGCATGTTATAGGCTAGATACCACTAGGTAATTAATCCTGTACCATATTCTTTTCTTCCCAGTTTATTTAATCTAAAACTTTTAAAAATCCCCGTCATATTAGTCTTTTAATCTAAAACTGTTTGTTATACTTGCTACCGCGAGATTGTACTGGCTCACATTTATGTAGAACTACATTCATTTTATTAGTGAGCTCTCCAATGACCAGATTTGAGATATATATCTCGGAGCCTAAGTAAAAAGGGGGGTGTCATATATATTGATTGTGGTGGTTACGCACTTTGTGATATGTATTACGAAGTGACCGGAGTTAAAAACATATACAGGATTGTCATTCTGCTTTAGAGGTAAAACGGTTTTGTTCTCTTGACTGCTAAATTTAAAGGTTTTGTATCTAATCCTTTTTTGCGTTGTATAGTGTTCATTGCCGAGTTGTTTCAGGTTAGAAAACGAACATCTTTTACTGCTACTTGGTTTTCAATGATTATCCAGTTATTGGTTTAGGGGATTGGTAAACATTGTCCAATTTAATAGTTGACATCATGGACCGATTATTTTTAAGCAACCTTTGGAAGTTGAGAAGCACTGGGATGCTGTTTCATCTCAACATGTGACTCCTTAGTGGTAGGCACCCACAGCCTCACCAGGTTTATGACCGAAAACATTCAGGCTTCTTGGCTAGCACTTCTCGATCACTAAGTTGGTACTCACTACACCATATATTTTGACTTGAATCAATTCTAGACATTGGGTAACTATGAATTCAATTCTTTCACAATGTTTATTGTTTTATTCCCAACTTGGTTAGTCATCAAAGAGTTGATTTTCTACCGGAAATTTAGGAAATCTGTTGTAAAATCATCTATTGGTGAACATAAATTTATTGTTATTACTATTATGAATATTATTAAAATAGAATTTTCCGAAGAGATAGCCCTCGAACTCCTCTCCGTTTAGTGCTGTTACGGGTATGAGGCCTGATGTCACTTTCCGGCTTCCCACATCATGGAAGGATATTTCTTGAGGAACTTGAAAAGAAAGTTGGGTTAGTGTTGGTGTTAACGACCTAGGAGCATGACCGCAGAGTCCAAGGGACACCTGCTTGAGGCCGGTCACTCACAGGCTTTTTGTGGGGAGTTTTTAACGTGTTAGCTTCGTTCTTCAAAGAGGTCTTACCGCCGGAGATGGAAATCCGTGAGGTAAGATGAGGTGTGACATTCCTAGTGTCAACCTTTTCTAACCCCATCCTTCCTTATGAGAAGGCAGCATCGCTGCAGATGTTGGTTGTCCAAAGGAAACACCTTACTGCTGTGACACCCCTTTACAGTCAACAGTACGACTTCGCCCTCAGACCTTGAGTTGCTGCCTTTAGTTTTACCATTCTCCAATCGACCTGCATGGCATAGTACAACCTACAGGAACATATGTTCCAGCCAATATAACTCGGTTGGGTCATCACGATAGACAAGCCCGAAAACCACGTCAAGGTAGCAGCTACGATCGAACTCTGTTTAGTAAGGGATCTGCATAACAGAAATAGTAGGATTTAGCCGCCATATTACAACAGAGAGGAAAGTAATTCCAAACAATCGTTTCATTTCTCCTCCTGATGGTCCTATTTAAATGAAATCATTATTTTATTTTATGATAGAACGTAGTGGTAATAGTAGTAGTAGTAGTATTAGCAACATTTCATCCCTATTCTTTCTGTGAGCGTGTAGTTACATGTGTACATTTATAAATGTGATATATCTACACTTGATTTCTCAAATCAATAATAAAAAGATTGTAGTCTATGTTAACAAAGTATTATTGTTTAGTAGTCTACATGTATAGGTATGGGCGTTTCAACACATTGTCTTAATGACGTATCTTATATACATTATGTACTATTTCAATATGTATCATGAAACTTATAATATATGTACATAGTTTATTGTTAGTACATTATTCTCTTAAATTTATGAATCAATTCATACATAAAATTGGCATTAACAAAACCACAAGACCAATACTCAATATATATATATATATATATATATATATATATATATATATATATATAACTTTAGGTTTATTCCACTTAATTTAACGTACAGACAGTCATAAGCAATTCTCATTTGAATTATCAAACTAATAAGGGGTTCTTTCACTACGTTAATTCTTGTATAGCTCAATGGATATATATATATATATATATATATATATATATATATATATATATATATATATATATATATCCAAATTAAATCAGAAAGTTTGACTTTCCATTTCTTATCAGGTCATATTGTTGTCTCCCAACTCTGTCTGAAGTTCAAAAGGCTATAGTTAATCTTGAAACGAGGGAGAGCAGCTGGTTCAGATGGATTGACTCCAGAGGTCTTGAAGGATGGTGGTCATATTTTAGCGATTAGGTTGACTAATATTTTAGCTAAAATCTGAGAGTTGGACGTAATCCCACCTGACTGGTTGCAATCACTTATTGTTCCGATATATAAGAAGGGGTCAAAATCATTCTGTGATAACCATAGAGGGATTAGTTTGACTAATATAGCATCTAAAATACTATTCTCAATAATTATCGGGCGCCTAACTAAGACTCGTGAACTGCAAACACGAGAGAATCAAGCTGGCTTCAGACCTGGTCGTGGCTACATCGACCACATATTAACCATTCGTCAGGTTCTAGAACACAGGAATGCTTATCGGCGTCCAACATTAGTTATCTTTCTTGACTTAATTCGTGGCATTTAACTCCGTAGACCGCGAAATTCTGTGGCAGTGTCTGTCATTGAAAGACATACCTCCGAAGTACATAAACGTTGTAAAGGCTCTTTACTCAAACACTACTAGTCGAGTCAGGGCTTATGGCGAACTATCATCTGCTTTTGTAACCTCAAGTGGTGTCCGACAAGGCTGTCCACTTTCCCCATTTTTGTTTAACTTCATTATGGACCTACCGATGGAAATAACTTTCTCGTCGACTGAGTTCTCGGGTATTGATCTCCTACCAGGAGGTCCACTTATCGACTTAGAATACGCAGATGACATAGTTCTGTTTGGTGAAGACGCTGGTAGAATGCAGAGTCTTCTGGTAGCACTAAGCAACAATGTCAGAATGTTTGGAATGCGCTTCTCTCCCTCTAAATGCAAGTTGTTGCTTCAGGACTGGTCTGCGTCAACACCTGAACTAAGGATAGGGAGTGAAGTAGTCGAACGCGTTGACAACTTCACTTATCTTGGAAGTGTGATCAGCCCTAATGAGTTGCTGTCTGACGAAATCTCAGCACGGATTCGAAAACCTCGCTTGGCTTTTGTCAACTTACGTGACCTATGGCGAAGGCGAGATATCCGTCTATCAATAAAAGGACGAGTATACTGCGCGTCAGTTCGTTCTGTTTTACTTTATGGCAGCGAAACATGGCCATTAAGAGTAGAAGACACTCGTAAGCTACTAGTATTTGACCACAGATGCCTTAGAAATATTTCTGGCATCTGCTGGGATTACCTGTTAGACGCAGGGTATTAGGGAATGATGGTAAATCAGTTGATCATTTTGTAAATCTTCATCTACTGAGATGGTTAGACCACGTGTTACGTATGCCTGAACACCGATTACCATGACGCGCAATGCTGACTAGTGTTGGAGATAGTTAGAAATAATTTAGGGGCGGCCAAACCAAAACGTGGCATCAGTGCTTGAAGACACTAACTTCTAGTCTGAGCCATGTTGGTAGATGCAGACTACTTGGTTGGGGTTGAGAATCGATCACAATGACGTAGCTGTATACACTCTTTGTTTTTCCTTAAACTATGAGATTAAAGTCACTTGATATCTTTATT